ACTAAAGGATGACAACATGCTGCTGTGTCCATTTGTTTGCCTGGCCTGGTCTCAGGACATGAAATGCAAGCACAGAGAAGTGAAGAGAGATGCCAAGCATCACACAGCAAGCTCATCAAGGCAGGAATGACATTAAGTCTTTGCTCTCTGGACAAAACACAACCTATCACCAACCCCATGAGGCAAGTGTTATTATCCCATTTTTAGAGATCCAGAAACTGAGACTCTGAAATAACTAGTGAAAGAGTCTAGGATAGTGGGCTGCTCTCCCCAGGATTGCCATATTCTAGAAATTAACACATCAAGGGGATGGAAAATTTTACAAGATGGACAGACAACTTGCCAAACCTTCCTGCTTGTGCCCCCTTTTAAGTTTCAGGAGAAAGACTCTGGGGTTCCTTATTTTTCTGTAGCTTTATCATATCTATAATTTAGCCTTGAGAAGAGATTTTTAAATGAGATAAATGTGCAGTCAAGACTGAGAGAAAGCATTCTTCCCAAGTGCTGGAGAATAGTGAAAGAAAGGGATGGCAGACTGTCTAAATGCATACTGAAGAGCTGGGAAAGACCACGAGTCACTCCATCCTTTTTTTTTTTTAATCCTTATCCGAGGATATTTTCCCATTGATTTTCAGATAGAGTGAAAGGGAAGAAGAGAGGGAGAGAGAAACATCTATGTGAGAGAGACACATTGACTGGTCGCCTCCCACACAACCCCAACCCGGGCCGGGGATTGAATCGTAATCAAGGTACATGCCCTTTACTGGAATCGAACCCACGACTCTTTGGTCCCTGGGCCAATGCTCTAACCGCAGAGCCAAACCTGCCAGGGCAAAAATGATAGTATTTCTCATTACACGTTCTGTCTTCTTCTCGGTCATACAGTGTGATTGAGTGAAGTGTAGTAAAAGTACCAAGGTCCAAAAAATGCACGAGACAAAGCTCTTTATTGTAATCTTATTTTTAGTTATTCATTTGAAGACAGTATCTATTTATTATTTCACATATTGAATTCCTCTTCACCAAAGGCTGCTGCTGGGAAAATATTTCTTGAGGTAGAGAGGGGAAGGCCTTTTGAAGGCCTGGACATGAAGTACTGAGACTTCCCAGCACCGTCCGCCCACTCCTTCTGCCCTGGTGCCCAGCTTAAAACTATAGACTTTTCTGTGTCTGCTATAGATTTTCCTCTGACTCGGGAGCATATCTGTGATTGAAATCCCAAGAGCTGCCACCTTGCTCACAAATGGGCTCTCAGGCATCAACTTGGGGTGGAACTGAATTGTTTCCAAAACGGAAACAGCCACTGAGAAATAGGGACATCAAGACAGTTTTCCGGGGTGATCATTGGCCAGCAAGAAGAGCTGGGTCTGGTGTTGACAGTATTCCAAGATGAAATGAGGAACCCCATGATGTGAGAATAGCGACAGACTCCCTAAAACAGTGGACACAGGGCAATCTCTCTCTTAAACACTGTTCCCCGAGCACATTCATGGACTGATTGCCATCAGTCAGGCTTCCTAAGCTTCAAATTCAGTAAATTCAATATTGGTAAGAAACGTCTATGTTGTTACTTGAATTGATTATAGCTTGGTTCTCCTTGATTATCTCAGTCCAGATTTGTGAGCATTTAACAATTAATTGTAGCAGTGACTGGAGATATGGAGACAGGTCCTTCTGGGACCTCTATTTAAGCCATTCTCTTTAACCCACTGCCACCTAGTGGTAACGTAGCGGACTGAAAAAAGGTTCACTTTTATCCAAGGAGAGAATACAGTCAAGCAAGAAACTTTTTCTTTCCTTGACACTCCTATCCAGAAAGCACAGGGAGTGATGAATATATTACATTCCACTGGACTCCATTCTCCTGCCAATATTTAACTGTCACTGTATATTTTAGATGTCAAGCTAGCTGATTCTTCTGCCTTTATTTTGATTAAATGAGGACATTTCCCATTTAATCAGAAATCTTTGAGACACAAAACAAATAAGCAAAGGCCAGAACTGGAACATTTGGATCTTGCCTCCCTTTCTTGCACTTCTTCGGTGGTTAGAAACGTCCCATATGTCAGCTGAGCCCAACTTAATGACATGCTTTGAAAGTGGGGAACTGGGCCTTGACAGTTAACTTGAGGTTTCCTTCTCTAAGAATCAATGATTTTTGTTTGTCTATCTTCCCAAGGTGACTCAGTTCTGGAAGCACACCGAGGAGATCAAGTAATCAATGTAGCAAATCTTTGCGCAGTTCAACTTTCTATATATGCACAGAGAAAAGCTGGTGGCAAATTCAGACATTTCTGGAATCAGTGAGGATCGATTAGTCAGATGTGGTAAAGCAGTCAGAGGGGAGCAGTCAATGGTGACCTCAACAGATCATGAAGACAATGGATTAATGCCAGTGAGCTTGTTAGGTGGAATGAAATCACAGGGCAATTACCATTGCTTGGGGTTTAGAGGTAATTCACAGTGTGGGCCAAGTTTCTTTTCTAAGCATGAACGTCAAATAAACTTGGAAGAATAAAGCTACCTCAAGGATAGAAATGTAGATGTATGTGCTTTTGGTGAAAAAAAAAAGGTGCAAGGCTACAACAACATTGCTAGAAATGTTTTAACTTTCTAGGTCTGTATCTTCATTTGATAATAGATTTCCCTGCCTCCTCTCCCCTCCCCCAAAATCAGCAGAGACAAAGCAGCCAGTACATTAATACAATCATATTTATTATAGTTTCCAGACTCCCATATGACACATATCTAAAGAACATTGCAAACTGATGTTACTAGCAGCAATCCTCCCTAAACAGGAAGGAGTTAAGTGAACTTAACAATTAGGAGTAATTTCAAGACAAGATTACAAGTCATGTTTTTTCTTTTAGCAGCTAATATATGAATAGAAGAACTATATATTCAGAGTCATCCAGGGTTAGCCTTGTCTAAAAAAAAAAATTAATAAGTCACAGTGCAGAGGGATATCCTCAGGGTAGCCCAAAAGGGTAATGTCTTTAGATGCCAATATGAAATAAGTAAATCACTTTTCAAGACATCACTTACTACCTGCTATACTGTCAGGACAACAGAAAAAGAACTGGACAGCTGCCCTAGAACCTAACTCACACATAATTCAACCAGATGATCATTGTTTAAATAATATCCCTTAAAATTTTTTAGACATTTTTCCCCCACAGCTCTAAAAACATAACATCAGATATAACATCAGACATTTGCTCAAAGAACTAAAAATCAAAAGCAATTGCAATGTATTGGGAATAGCTTTTACAGCTTTCCTGAGGGATAGTTCCCATCTTTTCAGAGAATGTTTTTAAAGAAGCACTAACTCTGGTTGCTTATCAAACTACTTTTTATTCTAAATAAATAAAAGACCAACTGAAGGTCTCAGGTGTACATATCCCCCGCCCCCCCCTTCTCCAAACCAACCAAAGCCATTTCTTGACAGACAGCTTTCTTTTTTATTAGAGGAGTGCAAGAGAACTTACAGGAACCCCAAAGGCTTATCTTAAATCCATCACTCAATTTGCCAGAAAGCAATGACAGACCACCCACCTTTGCAACACAGGCCCAGATAAGCTATTCTTGCTCTATAATCACTAAGAAAAGCCTCTGGGAGTTACTGCCCAGAGAAACACAGGCTGATGAACAGAAGTTACTGAAAAGGGGCGACTGCATACTGTATCTGGCACAGGAAAAGAAAAACTAAAACAGTTGTGAAACCTTTATATGTATATCATGATACACTTACATAAACCTTGACCTGCCCACAGCAATAATTTCATCCATATAAAAATACACAAAAGAATTAGAAAACTTTAGGACAGCACCAGTGACAGCTAGCTGTCTTAGATTAATTTAAAATTTTTCCTAAAGGTAAAATTTAGACAAAAGGTAAAACTTAGACAAAATGTAATTTATAGAACCTATTCTATTTCATGACTTTATCCATGTCAGCTGCTACAGGAATAGAGCAAACAGGAATACAGGTATCTACTCTTACTTTCTGTAAGGCTTCTGAGGACTAAGGGGAGCTCATAGCTCATGACCTGACAATCTCTACAGCTGCTTCTGGACTATTTCACCATGAAAATAGATAAAGCCGCTCTTGATCCACTAACAATTCATAGCAAGGATTCCTATGCTAATGGTTTCTAAGCTTTCTGACTTGACATGCACCATGCACAGAGAGCAGGTACTAATTAGACACTGCTAACTCTGGCTAACCAATGGCCCACCTATCATAAGATGGTCTCTGAAAAGAAGCATAAGTGCTTCCCAGATACTGAATTGAACAACTTAAAGTGCACGTTCTCCTTGTGGTAGAGCAGTAGAATCACTTTTATGTACAAAGAATGGTCCACGAAGTCATTCTGGGTGAGAAACCATATCTTCCATTTCTCAATCCCTTGTTCTTATATAACAAAGCTGGAAACTTCTGAGAGGACCTCAACAAATACCCGAGTATATACCCTGTGAAATGACTTGAAAAACACATTCCCTTGTTTAGAGATTACTTTGAAGAACCAAAGTTCGATGTTCAAAAATAAGTATTATTCCTACCAAGTTTCCCAAATCTAAATCTCTGGAGAATACTAGAAACCAGTTTTGCTGCATCGTAGCGGCTCAGAGCCCCCCTTCAAGTGAGCTGCTAGGGGCGTCCAGGACTCTGCCATTCTAGCTGTTACTGCCCCCTTTTCGCTCCTCCTGAGGAAGACTTCAGTTGCTTCTACAGCAACTTACAATAATGTCCTAGATGATCACATTTTTTGAGCAGCATATACATTGTTAGGGCCTATTTTTTCTTCCTTATAAAAAATTCTCTAATAACAAAGAAAAAGGCAATGGTTTTTTAAAAACTGACTTCTCTAAAAAAGTATTATGCTTTGTACAAAATAGCACAATACTAGATAGTTCATTCATTCCAGGATCACTGTCCAAACCAAACAAATAAATGGACACATAAGATGATCACACAGTTTAAAAATAATTTGCAGAGCCAGAATTATGAAGTTGGGCAGAAAAGCAGTAAATCAATCCTTATATGGATATATGAAAATTATATACAAACATGAAAACCAGCATTGTTTTAAATAAATCAGGTCAGATTTACTCAGGCACTAGACTGAAATACAAATTGATTATATTCCTTTTGATTCCAAATTTCCACTTTACGGAGAAAATCTAGCATCCATTACAGTTTCTAGCTGAGCAACAAGAGGGCAGACAGATGGGATAGCCAAACAGGGGAGACTGGTAAAGAAGCAGAGGCAGGGGTACTTGGTGATTAAACAAGACAACTATTAATTGGGGGAACTGAGAGTTTAGACACACTATTTAGAAAAGATTAGATTGGCAGATTCCAAAGATGATTGCTCAAGTTTGTGACCTGGAACCTCTTTAAATGTTTAGTATATTTGTTCTGGCTCTAAAAAAGCATGTTTAAAATGAAAAACAATAAACAAGCACAAAAACAATTTCTACAAATCCCATTTTAGGGATGTGTCACTTTTAGATGCTCGATCTCCCTTTGGTATCATATAAGCCACTGAGAAGTTCAGGGGAATTCTTTCTGATAATGATCAGAAAAGGGTGGGGACTAGGATGCAGGGGAGCAGCGAAGAAATGTTACTCTCCTCTTACTGAAGATATTCTTCTGAAACTTCCACTGTCCCTTAGGAGAAAGGAATGGAATATGGAAAATGGTTCCTGAAGATATCACTGCCTTCTGATTACAGCAAGATCATAATTATGACACATACAGAGATTACCTGCCTTGCTCATAAGAATTATAACCAAACTATGAAATAGAGTAAGTAAAAATTACTCATGGCACTTAAACATGTTTAGAGATTTTAAAATGTCTTCTTAAAATTCTTTGTCTCAGTTCTCCTGTGAGGTAGGTGTCTAATGGAGAAAACTGAGGCACAGAGGGGTTAAGTCTGCTCTCCTTTCATTATATGATGAGCCACTGACCCAGCTAGCAGAAAGGAAAGTGGATGGCACCCAACTAGTGGATGGCACTCTAGCTCCATCCACTTTATTCACCCTGCTTCTCAGAGGCTTATCTAAGTCACACAACAAATACACCAGGGGAAGTTTTTCTTTTCAAGCATTTTAACTGGTTAGCTATTTTTATTCATACTTTGAACATGAGTTATCTAAATAAAACCAAATATAAACTAATAAAAAAAATCAGTATTGCCTAACAGTCTGTATCAAGATATAGCCTATTCTGCACTGGTGACTGAAAAAGCATATAGTATGATTCAAGTAGTAGTGGAGAGTGCTGTGGTATTGCTGTTATTGAAGCCAGGCTGTGAGTCAAGTGTTCTTTACAGACACCACCAACTGTAGTTTGTGAGAATCTCTTTGGCCTGACACAAGGGAATAAAACTACCACTGCTATTTCATGAAAACCACTCTGAAAGATATTCTACACAGGGCCAGCCCTGCCTGGAAAGGGGATTCTCAGCTGCATGATGCAGGTATATTACTGAGTTCATGCAGCACTCTTTGAAGCCAGATATGAAGGTCACAGTCTCTTGCCATAAAGCTCACAGGATAGGTCACAGAGGGGGCAATAATCAGGGTACATGCACTAGCACCATGCCACAGATGTTAGAGAGGAAGACAAGAAGCCACCACACGAGCATCTTATATTCCCATCTGGTATGCCATTCACAGAAGTTACCTCTGATAAGGGAAGACTGATGAGGTCCCATAATCCTTCCCACAAGGAGAAGGATAAAAACAGGGCATTCATTGCTGGCTGCTTTGAGCATACCAACTATTCAAATTTTACCCTTACAAAAATTGATCATTTTCTTAGACCTTATAGATATCCAAAAATAACAGATTACACTTCTTGATTAAGAGAGAATGGCGTAGAGCAAAACTCAACAGTCAGTTACAAGATATAGGTGCAAGGCTCCAAGGCAATTTATATTGCTACTCTTGGAATCAAATTCACGAGTACTCAGGGCACTAGCTTTTAAAATGAGATCATTCTTTTTGAGATGAGTTTCTCTCCCCCATGCTAGAGTCCACGGAGTGAATTTAATTCATACATGACCCCTGACTCAAATGGAAGATCTTACATTTGGTCTGAGGGTCTGAAGTACAGCATACCAGATCAGATGTGTGTACTCATGTGCAGCTTTTGCCTTGACATTAATGGAAACACCCACCCACCCAAGGCCTGTTTCCCCTTGAGGGAGCTCATCTCCCAGAGAGCCCAAGCCTGCCGCTCTCCTCAACACATGCAGTACCAGAGGGAATCTTTCCAACCCAGGGTTTTACTGGCATACTAGGATACAGCATACAGTGATTCATGCATTTTATTTCTAAAAACCAAAGCTCAAGTGAGGCTGAGCTGGTCACTGTGCAAGATGAACCAGCAGGACATTCTCGCCCCGAATGAAAATCTGATTTATGTGTCTAGTGAATACCTGCTGATAATCTACTTTAGGCTTTCTCTTTTTCTTACGGGACTGGCCCCTAGAAAGGGTAGTAGCTCTGGAAAAGGTACCTCCTGCACTAGACACTTCTGTCCGCATAGTCCTCCCTGACAGCTCTGACCTGGACTCCTCCCTTGTAGAGGCCTGTAGGGAAGAAGGGACGGAGCGGGAATGTTTGCGTGAACCCCGGTCAGTGTCTCCTCTTCCCCACACTGAAGCTACCTTCCAAGTGGATGTCTGGGAGTATCTGGACAGAGTGGAGTCTTCAACTGCAGACTTAGAATCTGCCTCCTTCTTGGAGGAATCTTGAAGTTTTAGTCGATCAAATAGCTATAAGGAAAGTAATGATAAATATTAGCCTTTAACATCCCCCTTTCAACATACAGGGAAAAAAGACCAAATTCTTCAATTATGCTCTGCGGACAACTTGCTTCACAATTTTTAAAAAGTTAGTAATGAGCCCTGGCCAGTTTTGCTCAGTGGTTAGAGTGTCGGCCTGCAGTCCAGAGAGACCCGGGTTCGGTTCCCGCTAAGGGTGCGTGCCTTGGTTGCAGTTTGACCTTGGCCCTGGATGATCGTGCTGGTGGCAGCCACTCAATGTGTCCCTTTCACGTCGATGTTTCCCTCTCTCTCTCTCTTCCTCTCTCTCCCTCCCATTCTACCTGAACAAAAAATGAAAAAACGTCCTCGGGTGAGGATAAAAAAAAGTTAGTAATGAATTTTCTTTTTCTACCCATAACTCAGATAAATCAGTTAAGTGTGTCAAGATACAAGGAACCTGCTTGCTTCTCCTGGGTAAAACAGAAAGACTTTTAAGCTTTATAAGAGGTAACTTGTTGCTCAAATGATATGCAGGCCCGAAGCAGGAACTCATTTGAGATTTGCTAGATGCATGAGAAGAGAGACTAATGAAGACCTTGGTCCAGGCACTTGGCTGCTAGCACTAGGGCTTTCCCACAGGACACCCTGATCACTGGGCTCAGTATCCTAATTCCTAAGCCTGAAAGCATCCTGGGTACCAAGGAAGTCAGGAGAAATCGCCTACCCTTGTGAGAGTCAATGAAGAATCCCGCTCATACGCTTTGCCTAGAACAGGCTTTCGGTAGGTCTCATCCACATCAGTAAGTGCCTAGAGAAACAGCCCAAAGGGGATAAAATGAAGTGGAGTTAAAAATTTTATTTTTATAGCTTTCAGAAAAAAATGATAAAAGGCAGAATAATATCGAATTGTAGCAGAATTAAACCTAACAGGTGACTCAGCTATTATTGGGCAGAAAAAAGATAATACCTGGCACCCTTTGAGGATTTCCAAGTGGCTATGACAATATAAAACGAGTTTCTGTGGTAAGGGGCCTATACAACTGCACAGAGGTTCTTAAATTTCACTGTGCATAAATATCTAGGAAGCTTATTAAAATATGAATCCAAGGGTACTACCTCCTAGAGATTCGGATTCAGTAGGTCTGGGACGAAGCCCAGGGACTTTCTGTTTTAACCAGAAACCCCAGATGATTCTGATGCAGGAATGCCTTAGACCACACTTTGAGAAACACTACTCTACTGCTTCTTTTCCCTTTCCAGTTTCTATGTTTTGTGACAGTAATTAACAGAGATTGACCAGAGTTACACACTGAATTACTGGTGAATTCTCATCATGGAGAGATCAACTTCACAGGACAGCTGTTAGGATCAAACGAGATCATGTATGAGAAATTACTCTGAAAAGTGTAAATGACCATACAAGTATAAGCTGACAGTTTATTATTACCAGCACTGTCATTACGTATGCTACCTTAAATCCTTTTCCTACAAAGACAAAATTATAATAATGAAAGATTTTTTCTAACGTTTTAGAGACGGGGAAACTGAGCCTCAGAGAAATGACCTTGCCTAGACTCACACAGTCACCAAGTGGTAAAGTTGGGTTCAAATCCAGGCTTTCTGATTCCATAATGGATGAAAACATGATTTGAGATGTCAGAAAGACCTGTAATAAAGTCTTGGTGCTTCCACTTACTAGAATGTGATCTGGATCAATCTTCCAAAATCTGTATCCTCAATTCCTTCATTTGTGAAATGGAAGAGTAATAGACCTACAACTCATTCACTGAGATAATATATATCAGTCCTTAGTATAGTACCTGGCACATACCAAGTGCTCAGTAAATATTAGCAACTATTATTATCCAGGGGAATACATGAATGGAGATAAAGCGCAGAGAAAAGAAAAGTTGGAGATGAATGACTACATAGAAAACAAACACTAGAGAGCCCTGGTGGCCCCTACTTAACTGCCCCACATTATAGTGCTATAATACATCTCTTCTTTTCTTTAAATATCTGGTAAACAGTAAGGGTCTAGGAAGCTCAGGGTGTGTGGTACACTCCTTCATAAGGAAACACTGTGCAAACTAGCTTGCGTATTAAATATGTCTGCTCCCCCTCTATCCTTATCTGTCTCTCCAAAAACAGTAGTGTGAAAGTTCCTTTCTGAAACATCTGTACTTAGCCAAAGTAGAACGCCGATAAATATTTTTAATAGGAAATCAATATAAAATTACTAAACAGATGAAATAAGTAATTATTCGTTAAGGCTGAGTTTCTCAACCTTGGAATTAAAAACTGCACTGGATAATTTTTTGTCGTTGGGGGGGGGGGGCTCTCCGTGCATTGTAAGACATGCAGCAGAATCTTTGGCCCTTACCCATTAGATGCCAGTAGCACCCTATTCCATAGTAGTTGTTTTTTTTTTAATGTCCCCAGACATTGCCAAATGTCCCACGGAGGGAGAGAAGGGCAAAATCACCCTGGCTGAAAGTCACTGCCTTAAGGAAAAGGAAGCAACAAAAGAAACTTTTTTGATGTTTCTTAAGAGAGTGTAAAGATTCTAGTTCTTTTGGGAAGTTATTCTGTAGGTTTTGCTGAGTAAGGTTACCCAGGACCTTTAGACTTATAAATGATTTAACCCCCAAGAGGTTCTCCAACCCCTTGAGGAAGGCTTAATTACCATATTCCAGAACTTGTCAAATGCAACCAGGAAGCCTGTACAGACGCCGCGAAGTCCCTTGAAAGTGCGGATGTGAACATTCACCTTCACTCCCTCCCGGATACAACGATGGAGTTCACCCAGAGGGCTGCCTTCGTGCACTGAAATGAGAGAACAGTCACACAGCCGAACATCTACTCTCATTCCCAGAATTAACAACCAACACAACCCATCCATCTCTAGCAATACAAGGCAACACGGTGGAGTGGCAACTGTGGAAACAGGAAGGTCCAATGGGCAATACGGCTGTTAACAGGCAACACAGTGAAAAGAGACAAGATTCTATCATAACATGGATAAGCCATATGAATGGCTATCATACAAAAGTTTCACTTCTGTATATACCACAGTCTATGTCATTGATTCTAAGATAATCATCATTTAAAACCTTTTTTGGGCAAAAAAGAAATACCACATTATAGGCGCAGAGCAGCTAGAGTCTTCTCAATTCTGTGTCTTTATTAAGACAACCTTTTCCAGGATAATTCTCATGAACCACATATCCAGCTTGAGCCTTCCAAAGAACCAAAAATCTTGTTCATATGTTTAAAGAAAATAAAATGTATAACACATCTGCCCTTAAACACATGTAATCCTATAAGAGAGAATGGCCTTTAGACCCCCCAGTCTCAGCTACTCCACACACAAGATCTCTGGAACCACTAGTGCTTCAATGTACATCACCTTCACACTACACTCAGAGACCAGCTTTATTCCAAGCTTTGCTGGGGTAAAAGCACCTGCTGAGCATCTAGCTCCTATGAGAGTGTTGATGAGCATCATATAAAAAGAGCAGTATGACAATTCATAAGAAGAATGTTGGGATTATCATTTCAGTTTTTACTACGATAGATTCTTTTTTTTCAGAGCTTAGGCACAGGGATGAATTTTATTTGTATTACTTCATGTCAACTCACCCTTCACAATATGCTGGCTATACTATATATAACCTCCCAAAAGAAAATCACACACATATACACATTCTCTGTCACACTCAGGCATATACAATCTGTCTTTCCTTCACTCCCAAGTTTGCAAAACAAAATTCTTTGGAGATTAATGCAATTCTGTGGAGATTAATGTTTTCTTTCTAGTGGCATAAAACAGAACAACAGTCCTGCATTTCAGTTTGGATAACTAAGTTGGTTACTCTTGGCCTCCTTATTCTTCCTTCATGACTGGGCTTATAAATGATGACAGTGATAAATTAATAAAAGAAAATACTCTTGGAAGAAAGTGACTTAACAGATGAAAAACAGGGGCTTATGTCAGAATGAAGATTCAGCAAGAAGGCACAGGTGGAGCAGAGTGGCAGAAACAGCCTTGGAAAGGAACATGAGAACCTTGGTCTGACCTTCATTATCTACCCTTCCTCTAGCAATATTCTAAAATGTGTACATGTATCTGAATATGTGTTACAGACTGTGTTAAATCCAGCACTGTAAACATCATTTAGGTTATCATCACTGGTTGTGTGACCTTGGTGAATAACCTTCTCTCTACAAGTACGAGTTTCCTCATTCATAAAAGTTAGATGACTAGTTAGCATCTAGATTCAGGAATAAAACTCTATAATTCAGTATCTTAGAAACGGATCACAATGCCTGAATTACTCTCTTTGCCTATGTACATACTCTGTCCCCACCTCATCCCCATACACATATCTGTTTCCACAAAGAATGGAAAGATTCTTTTTCTAACTTGGGAAGAAACAGGGTGCCATTTCTTCCCCTACACTCTCAAATCAAAGAGAAAGGACAAGCATGTATCTTAACAACAGTCTTTTATTCTAATTAATCAAATGGCATACTTGGGTCTTTTGATTCTCACATCTGTGTCCTTCCCCTTTTTTTCCCCCCAAAATTTAATAAAATTTAATTACCCCTTTCTGTGATCAAAGGTACAAACACCACCTATTAGAGAAAACTGCCAAGGCAAAAATGATCTCCGCATTCTGAATCAGAACACACATTCTGAATCTCTTTCCAGCAGTCTCTGTGACAAGTTCCAAACAGATATGTGCTAAGCTTATAAAACTTATTATGACCGGGGGGGGGGGGGGGGGCAAGATGTGGTGGCTCATCTTTGCAGAAAGTTTTTCTTCCAAATCCCCTTTTCCATTGCCACTGTGCTTGGGCCACACACCTTTCCAAATCCAGGTCCTTTTTAACTCCACTTCTACTTCTCCCTGCTCATGGCAATCTCAAATTTTCTCCTTCTACAACCAACCATATCATCATCATCACTGTCACCTTCATTATCAACAATTATTGAGCTCTCAGTATGGTCACGCCCTGTGGTAAGTTTAACTTGATGTACATTATTTTACTTAATCTTCACAACTAACACATAGGTACTTTTATTTCCCCTCATTCTATAGATGAGGAAACCAAAGCTCAGAAAAGTTTAAATAATTTGCTCAAAGTTACTTACCCAGTCAACAGCTGAGCCAAACAGTCAATGCAGGCAGCTTACATGCATCCTGACCTAGAGCGTTTAATTATGACAGCCTAACAGTGACATTTAACATTCATCAAGAATTTTTCTATATGCTATGGAAGACTACTGTTGTAAATGCTTTAAATGTGTTAACTAATTTAAACCTCCTAACCACAGGTAGATTCTATCATTGTCCTCATTTCACAGATGAGGAAATTGAGGCCTTAAAGAGTTTACGCAACTTGCCTAAACTGAAACAGCCAGAAAGTGGAGGAGCCAATATTCAAACATGGGCAGTCAAACCTCTGTGTTCTACCCTACCCCTAAATACATTTTATTACTAGAAACTTAGCTCCTAGAAACATTTGCCCTAAAAGTGCTTTTACTTAAGAATATACCATGGTTCCCGCTCTCTATCATCACAAAGTCAAACAGAAACTCTTTCGTTTGGCTCTTTAATGCATTCTGGCCACAAATTCTTCTGGACGCAAATTCCGTTCTCACTGCTTTGGACACAAACCCTCTGCCTCACACATGCAGCACCCTCTACACACCAAAAACAAGCAAGCGTTACAACGTCCTCTCCTCTTCCCTCTTCCGAGACTAGTATGATGGGTAAGCACACAGGTCCTGGAGTTGGTTGGATGAGCCCAGATTCTCAGTTGCAAACTAACCAGCTATGTGACCCTGAGCAATAACAGGTAATAACTGAGCTTCAGTTTCTTCATCTACAAAGATGTATCTAAGGATAAAAATGAGATATAATGCATCTAAAGGACTTAGCAAAGTGTATAGCATATATGTGCTCAATAACAGTACCTATGATTAGCAACAATAAAATTAACACCTGACTTACCAAAGGGCATGAGGAAACTTTTTGGGTGATGGAATTGTTCTGTATCTTGATTGTGGTGGTGATTTCAAAACTCACTGTAAAAATGTGTATTCTGATATATGTAAATTATACCTTAATAGTCTGATTTTCAAATAATTACTGTTATCCACAATCATGCTCTTCCTTAATTTCAAGACCCAAAGCTTACCTCTTATACGAACTCTTTCTTGAATAAATCTAATCCTCACCTAGGCTGGGGTTTTTGTTAGTTTTGTTTTGCTTTGTTTTCTGAAGGTCAGCAACTAACTGTTTGTGATATCTACTCATCTCTATCATGTACACCACACTGTTTCCAGTGGCATAACTAACATTTTCAGTGTCCAGGGCACCTTCTCTGAGACCTTGATTCCAGGCATATATTTCATTGTGGGACGTCAACAGAGTTGGTCTTCACATTCTATTATAGAACAATACAGCAAGGTGCTCCATAAGTAAAGGTAAAGCTACCCTCCAGAGAAATATTTCCTTTCCTTTTCTTGGCAATCTTGGTAGCAAAGCAATAACTGGCAAAATGAAAAAAAAAAAGTTACGTTCTCAGATTTGGGAGTGCATTTCAAAAATCTGATGTGGCAAAAGTAGAGGCAAAATCAGTTCCACCAACTGCTCTTAGTTTAGGAACATGATAGTCCATCTTTGTGTTACTGCTGGACAAGCAAGCTGGGGTGAACTCTAAGCTTGGGCAGGGATGTTCTGGCATGGTGTCATCTGACAAAGGCACGCCTAACAGCACACAGCTTCTCAGGATGTTTCTCTCTTAACAAATACATTTCTAGGAATAAAACAAATATACCCTTGCTTAGCACAATCCTCCATTCCAAAGGCAGTGATTTAACAATGTCACAATTTAGCTATCAGGATACACATGCTCTGAATGGCTAAGTAGGTCATTGCGTTGGCCAGGCAGGTGTCAGACCTTCTTCCCAGATGACAAAAGATATAACCCTGGGCTGTTTTTATTCCGTTTTTACAAGACCTCACTTGCACATCAGCAACCTCTACTGTTTACAGCTTTTACTCTACGGATCTATTAGGAGGCTCTGAGAAATTCCTCCGAGCCATTTACACCTTCAGAACTTAAAATAACCTGTGCATACGGTAATAGGAGCCTGACAGACACAGTCCTGCAGCCAGCCTGGCAGCGTGGCTGTAAAAGTGTCCGCGTCTTAGTGGCATTTTGTGCCTGCTGCATTCTAGCACCTGTGATTTTGCCATGTAAACCTGTGTGTATCAAGACCCTGTACCCTTCCCCTGCTTAGAGAGCACCCGAGAATGAGCCGTTACTGAAGATGCTATCTGAACAAACCTCCCCACACTCCATCCCATAATCCCCAAATCCCACGGACCAAACACCCATTCCCCGAATACTGGCTGTGCACCACCTCCTCCGTCCATGGTCCCCAAGACCTCTTACCACCTCTGCAAACCCCCCCATGATGTCCAGGCGCCTCCACCTCTCCAGACCCCCCACTCCTGCGGGGCCGCTCTGCAGGCTCCTCCTCACCCTCCCTGCAGCCACTTCCATGCGCCCAGCACCTTCGCAGACCCTCGGGGGCTCCTCCTGACCCTACGCCGCCCCGCCCCGCCCCGCGGCTCCCGCAGACCCGGCACGGGGCCGCCCGGCCGCCCCGGCTGCCCGCGGCCGCAGACCTCCGCCCGGCCGCCCGGACTCACAGGGCATCCGCGTGAGCACGTTGCGCGGCGCCTTCCTGCCCCGGCCCGGGGCCCGGCGGCCCTCCCTGTCGGCCTCGTCCCCTTCCTTCTTGACCACCATGAGGCGGCGGAGGCGCTCGATGCGCGCGGGGTCCGGGGCGGGGGCGTCCGCGCGGCGGCGGGTCCTGCCCGAGGGCCCAGCGGCGGCGGGGGCCCCGGAGGCCGGGTCCGCGCCCCGCGCCCGCCCGCGCCCGCCGCCCCGGCACCCGGTCCTCAGGAAGGTCTCGTACGCGGCCACGTTGTTGAAGCAGGGCGCGTTGGGGTACGGGATGGGCGGCAGGCGGGGCGCGTACAGCGCCAGCAGCGGGTCGAAGCTGTCCGAGTTGACATCCAGGCGCGGGCTGGGCGGGCGCGCGGGGCTCCCGGCGCCGGGCGACCTCGCCCCCCACTCCCGCTCCCGCTCCTCCATGTTTGAAAGGCCCGCAAGCTGAGGCCGATGGGAAGAAGGAGCGGAGCCGCCAGAGGGCGGTACTGCGCAGCCGCGGAGCGGGGTCGCACTGCGCGGGCGCGGCCACCGGAGGGCAGCACCTGTCTGTACTCAGCTCCGCCAGGGGCGTGGCGCGTGGCTCGCCAGCTCCACTCCCCAGCACGGCCTCAGGGCGCGGGTGACCCGTTCATCTGCTTTCATGCAGTGTTTCCCCATCTATATCATTATGACTTAGGGTGTTTGTTAATACTCCGGATTCCCCGGGGTCGAGCCCGGACCAGCACGTGAACAGACCACCCCAAGCGTTCGTCGGGTCTGCAGTGAGCTGGCGGGAAGAGTGCATGGAACATCCCGGTTTACTCTCACGGAGCACCCCTGGAGATTAGCCTACCTGGACTCAAATTACTGAGCTTTTCTGGGTCTCCACATTCTCATCTGAAATATGACAGAAATAGTATCTACGTTCTAGAATTGCATTAAGAATGAAGATATAGCGCGTAGAGTGCACAATTAATGCCCTGTTAGCTAATATTGGCTAAGTGCACAAATAACTTAGTGGGTGGATCCCAGTCCTCCATTTCCTACATCCTATTCAAAAAGTAATTTTCACTAACACCAGAAACCTTAGTACTAAAGGAAATTCATTATATCACTGATTTTGTTAAGCAATGCTAAGCAACTGGAGGAAATGATCCAGCTCTTGTAAAACAGGATGATAGAGGATTCACTAGACTGGTTATACTTTATAGCCTCTGCTTAGCGAAACATTTTTTTAAATATTAAAATAGTCTCCACCAAAGGCCCAGGTATTAATTATTCCCTCATCCAGTAGAGGTAAGATATTCTGGTCACCTACAAGTCACAAAAATAGAACTGCCACCACCCTGAGACTATCAACTAGTATTAATTCTATACCAGCTGCTTCTGTGTATATCTTAGTTTCTTTACATTCAGAAAAGAAACCCAAAAGAATACTATTCTCTGTCTTAGAAAACAAGATGAAAGTGAATATACAACTGCAATATACACAGGAATGAATACATACAACAAAAACCATCAAGCATGGAGCTTCCAAGTAATAGCACTACAGCTTTAGTTCTGGCATGAGTATTAAGCCTAGTATATTCGTTTCTTCAAAACCCTGTACCAAATAAAACTCAAAGCTGCAAACTGCTCACAATTCAAGGAACAAATGCTTGTCCCTGTATCTTATGACAAAATCAAGTGATGGCCTTTGTAGTATTACACAGCATCCACAAAAAGCACACTTCTTTGGATGGTTTTGTCTTGAAAACTTGTACTTCAGTGCCTATATATATTTCTTTTTATATCAAATGCTATAAGTTTCCTTACCACTTATATCTGCCAATCAAGAGCTACATTATCTTATTGCCTCATTTGGCCTATCATGGCCCAAAATGTGGTCTATCAATGACCATAGGCATCAGAAAGTTTTGAGGTTAGAAAACATTACTGAATCCCAAATCCTTATGGGGGAATATGGAATCAGCATTTTAAACAAGCATTCCAAGTAAATTTTTGTATCCCGAAGTCTAAACGGTTGCTGTGATGAAAAGTGTATGTATTCTGGCTATGCGGACACACAAACACATACAAAAATTGGATTCATACACTGCATTTATATGAGGAAAATAAATGAAAAATTAGGCCACGGGAATTGAAACCTTTATTTTTCTTCTCAAAGAGATTTTATCAATTACTAAGTATCTCCTATTTCTGCAGAGTGAGAACAGGAAGGGAAAACATGGAATCGACAGATGGGATATCAATTGGTGAGGGATGAGACCAGCCGTCACTCTTTCAAAAAGACATTTTCTTCTTGGCTGTAAATTCTGCAATGCAAGACCAAGCACTGGGACGTTGGCTGTCTCTTAATTCTTAATAAAGCCAAAGACATCTCTGCTCTAAAATATGAAATGAGGAAAGAGGCAATGTGAGTTCTCTCACCACCTGTCCCCACTACCTCCACCTTTTCAGAGGCCAAGAGTTTGGCAAATGAAATTACTGCTGCAGCTCTCTGGGTACCTCATCCAACCCATCTCTACTGGTCATCAGCAGGTGGAACTATTAGGACTCCTTTAACTATTAGCACACCTGTAACCCCAAGGGGAGTGTAGACCCACTGCTATTTCAAATGTCATTGTTCTGATTATACAGAAGCTACCTGAGAATCTTTTTCAGGAAGTCCAACAGGTGACAGGGTGACTTTAAGAATCTAAAGGTCATGGAGTAGCCCTGGCTGGTTTGGCTCAGTGGTTGGAGTGTCAGCCCTCAGACCAAGGAGTCTTGGGTTCGATTCCAGTCAAGGGCATATACCTCAGTTGTGGGGGGTCATATGTGAGGCAACCAGTCAATGTGTGTCTCTCTCCCTCCCTCCCACTCTGTCTGAAGATGGATGGAAAAATATCCTCGGGTGAAGAATAAAAAATAAATAAAAATAAAGGACATGCAGTGAAAGTTTCTCCCTTCTTGTTCACTCATTCTTACACATTTCCTTTCTCTCAAATATACACATAATTCTTCTTAGAAAGAGATCATTGGCATTGCAAACAATGCCCCTGGCAAGAGGACGATGATCATGCAAATTAAGTCTACAAAATCCTTCTGTGGGATGTTTAAGAAGGACATCCAAACTACTCATTTGTTCAGCCAAGGCTGCCAACTTTGAGACTGAGTTTTCCCTGGAATTCCTGAATTCAGAGACATCCTGCAGGCACCAGGCTATATTTATCTCCAAGTCTGCCAAAGATGAATGCAAGCACATAGGTGGGAAAGGTGAGATTTAAGGTCACTGGATTCTCTAGTTAAGAAGAGGTGCACAAGAGTAAACCTTGGGCTCATCTTCTATCGTAGGTGAAAAGAGCTTGGCAGGTTTTTGTAAGACTTATGCCACAATCTAAAAATGATTCATTCTGCAAGGCATAAAATAATTCTCACTTTATAAAAATAGTACCATAAATTTTAAAAAATGCACTTTTACCAAAGGAGCCATATTACAACACTGCAAAAAAAAAGTGTTCTACTTAAAGCAGAACAAGATACCTCACCCCATCCATACCTTCCTTCCCTGTTCCCCTCCCAACCAGAGTCATGTCCCTCCTGGGCCACTGTTCCGGGCGGCAGAGATGCTAGGGCCACCTAAGGCCAGAAGACTTGGGAGGCCTTCCATGGTTAAGCACAGCAGGACAGAAAGACGAAAGGTCAGCTGTCTTCATCTAGGATCTCCGGGTGTTCCTTCCAGAAAGCATCTCCGATGATGTCGCAGTGCAAGGGCACTGGCTTAGTCCTGGTTCGGGTCACTGCCATCTTTTTCCCTTCCATTTCTGCTGGCAGCTTAACTTCTTTTGTCATGACTTCATCCACCTACAGTAAGTTACAATACTGACACTGTTAACTCGAGAGAAACAGGGTTTAGAAGGGGGGAGATAAGGAGGTTTGTTTTTTACTCTATATACTTCTGACATATATATTTATCAGGAGATATACAGATACACACACATATATCTCAACATACATGCATTTTACAATTAAAAATACTTTTAAAAAGAGTTATGTTGCTATATTCTAAAAGAACATCTTAGGAATAAGGGAAATTTCTTGTTCCTTGTTAGCAATAACTATAGAATTAATGGTATTTTTGCTCTCCCACCTGCATTAAGTATCCAAGTCTGTGCCAAAGAACAAATGTGCTTTAAAAATACTAATAAAAGAGCTGAAGTTGCTACTGGAATGACTAGCTCCCAAGGTTCCCCTTAATACTTAAAAGTGCTCATTTCAGAAAAACTACTTTGGACGGAAGGAAAGAAACTTAGAGTATTATGCTCAGGAGCTGGTACAGAGAAAACACTGGTAGAATTAAGGATTTAGGTAAATGTACAGGCTCATTACAGAATATTAAGGTACGTACGAATGTCTGGGGAATCTCGTGAATATGCTGCAAGTGTCAGAACCCTCACACCATATTACAGTTGTCACAGGATGGATGAACCATTTAATGGTGTGATCCATTAACCCTTTAACAAGGTTTAATTTGATTTGAGAAGAGCTTATGACAGAAAAGTAAGTGTAATAGTTCTAAAATTCTGTGTTTCTACTTACAGGGGAGATTTAAGATCACAAGGTTCACTGACAGACTGATGCAATGAGCATGGACTGACCAAAAAAGAGAAAGCATTGAAATAGAAACCTAGCCCTGGCCGGTTTGGCTCAGCGGTTAGAGCGTCGGCCTGCGGTCCGGAGAGACCCGAGTTCGGTTCCCGCTAAGGGCACGTACTTCGGTTGCAGTTTGTCCCCGGCCCTGGTTGGTCGTGCGGGTGGCAGCCACTCGATGTGTCCCTTTCACATCGATGTTTCTCTCTCTCTCTCTCTCTCTTCCTCTCTCTCCCTCCCACTCTATCTGTACAAAAAACGGAAAAATGTCCTCGGGTGAGGATTAAAAAAAAAAAAAGAAATAGAAACCTATAGCATCTCATTTTGGAAAGGATGTATTCGTGTTAGCAACTGCAGTCATATGCATACAGGTAGCAGGCAAGACAAACTTGGGATGGGCATAGACTCTTCTTTCCTGACCTCCATTTTTCTTCACACAACAGCATTACCTTTTGCCATATCAATACTGTCCCTTTCCTGTACATCAGCGGCTCATTATTGTAGTTGATGTTGAATTCAGAAAACAAAATCTCATTCTTGTCTGCTGCAAGAGTTCCCTGAGAAAATAAAAACAGATATACAGAGCTTTGTATGTCTTCTCTCCCTTAACCCTACCATTCCACCCTCTTCCTAAACTTCCACAAACAAATCAAGAAGTAGAAGTGTTTTATCAAACATCTTTTGATACTAAAATATTTGCATAATTTTAAGAGCAGTTCAAATCTTTACATGTGCAAATTCATAAAATTCTCTTCTGCTAACCTCTATGCTATATACCTGAAACTAATACAGAATATTGAATGTAAAAAAAATTTATCTTCTGTAAAAAACAATGGCTTCACAAGTCACAAATGTGATGGGGTGACTGCCTATTCTGTACTAGATACTTTATATACATTTTCCTGTTTGACTCTGATAAACATCTCCATTTTGGAGATGAGAACTCTGAAGCTTAGAAAGTTTATATTCATTGCCTAAGACTATAGGCTGCTCTTAGCCTTCTAAGAACCAAAATCTAAACTTAGCTCTTCCAAACTGGATAGACCTATTCATATTCTTATTACTGCTATATGTAAATCTTCATCAACATTGTTAGTAACAACAACCATTTACTAAATAGTACTTACAATGTGTTTTGCACTATCCTATGTTTTACATGCATCATGCCATTTAATTCTCAATGCAAACCTATGAGGTAGGAACTATTACATTTCTACATTTTACCTATGAAAAACTAAGGCAGAGAGGATAAAAGTAAACAGAAGCATGATCTGAGCACCATTATTTGACTCCTGGAGCCTAGACTCTTTACAATACATAGGGGTCACACCTGAGAAACTACAGGTGCACAGCAGGAAATGGTAGTGAGGAAACAGGCCAGGTGGGACAGGAAAGAAGAGTACTGCCCTGTCTAAAGAGGGCAGCCAATACTCAGCTCCAGCCAAGCACTACCATGTGGGAATGCAGAGCCAATGTACTGATCCCATTTTCCAGCTGAGGACACGAAGCTCAGGGAGAAGTAGCAACTCATATAGCATCACAAAGCAAGCAAACAGCAGAGCTCCTACTAGTATGATTTTATATGCTTTCAAAACAAAGAGAGCTTGAAAAGAATGCAAAATGTCATGGGAGAGCCTACAGAAAACTGTCCCCCGTTAGGCATTAATGCAGGAAAATCTTTATACCTGTAATCTCCCTTGGGCTTGTACTGGTGTAAGTCCAGACTGCTGTACAAGTGCCCAGAAAACTGTATTATAAAGGTTATTGATATGACCTGTGAGGAGAACAAAGCAGCACTGTTTATACATACATAATCTTTATTTAATATTCATGCTTCAAAGAATATAAGAGCCCCACCTCTCTCCTCTTTAAAGTAAAGAGATCTCGGAGATATTTAGCGACCTGCCCAAAACCATGCACAGAGACATGGGGGGAACTGGGCAACCAAAACAAACTTATTTCGTAACAGTTTTTATCCTGTAATTTTAGGTATACTCATCTGTTAACTTGTGCACTGAGCTTAGGAATACTTTCAAAGAGTTATGATTTACATTATTCCTACCTCTCTTTTCCAGTTCTGGCAAAATCAAGATATACCAAATGAGAAAAAGTCTCACAAACATTTCATCATACTCGTGTAAGGCAGGAGTCACAATGCAAATCCCCCTTTGCCGGCCCCCAGGGAACAGGGAATGATACTGTGGCACACTGGCTCCTTTGTGTGTGTAAAGGCAGCAGTCACTGCGCAGGTTCTCCCTTATACTAAGTGGGAATACAGACCTAGTACTACCAGATCTTCTGATTTAAAAAAAAAAAAAAAGCTGGAAATAGGGAATATTTCCATGAAATCTCCCAATTTTTCACCTACTTTCAACTAACTTAAAATTTTTTGAAATATTTCATTTCAAACAAAATAAATGTGAGCCAAACCAATACCAGATCACCACCTCCAAAGTATGGAATTGGTGGTTTAATTACATCTATTTAATTCCTTTCACTTACAATCTGCTTGCCTCCAGCTGAGGTAGTCCTTCAAGGTCTGGTTGTTAGGATACACCACAACTCTTCCATCAAAGCCTGGGGGGTACAGAAGGGGCTGGTCCTCAAAGTAATCCCGCCAATAAAACACGTAGCTGGAGGCGAACTGGGAGGCCACGTGAGTCATGAACTTACTTGCAAGTGTAAGACACATTGGGTGGAGCAAGAAAAGAGAAAATACATAACATTAACTCGACACCATGATAGGACCTGTGGGTGCAAAAGAGAGATTACACAAACTGGCCAGCAAACCGAGATAAAATATGGTGGGCCTAGAATAACTATTTTAATATTTCAGTTACATATTTGAAATATAGCCTGCCTCTGTCTGGTCCTATACATAATTTACTAATGTTTTCCCTGTAGGATATAATGTGAATGTATGGTTCAAGAGGTATGCTTTTTTTAAGCCTTGAAACGAGGGGAACCATTTACTATATGATTTCTTTCCTACAAGAGTTTTAAAATACTCAAATATGGTATTTGTCTATTTTGTACCGAAAAACTGAAATTCTCCTTCATTAAAAGTTTAAGCAATACTGCAATGCCTGTATAAATTCCTGTCATTGGCTAAAGCCATCCTATGAATCATTAATATTACATACCATGGTCTATTTTTCTAGACTTAATGTTCAATGCCAAATTAGTCTAGAAGCTAAGGTGATGGGGAATGGAGCAGAAAAAGTCAGATAAAGATGGATACGAATGCTCTGATATCAGATGGAAGTACAACAGTCCAAACAGGAATATACAAACATTCGACAGTTACAAATACTGCAGAAATCATCTGCGGTTTGTGAGTCTGTATTTAAGAAAAGCAGAAACCAGCCTGGCTGGTGTGGCTCAGTGGATTGAGCGTCTTCCCATGCCAGAGAGGTCACTGGTTTGATTCCCAGACAGGGAACATGCCCGGGATTCAGGCTCGATCCCCAGTAGGGGGTGTGCAGGAGGCAGCTGATCAATGTTTCTCCCTCATGGAAGTGTCTCTCTCTCTCTCTCCCTCTCCCTTCCTCTCTCTGAAATAAAATAAAGCAGAAACCAGATGCTGATAGGAAATATTCTGAAGGAGCTGGGCTATGGAATTACCTGGCTCTTCTTTTAAACCAGTTGCTTTTCCGCTTGAACACAAAGCTGTACTCATCACTCTGTCCGTATGCAATCACAATGTCCTCTAGTTCTTCCATTACAGTCTGGGCACATTTGGTCATTAGGTAGAGAGCACGGCTGTCATTAGGTTTTGCAAAGTTGTGCTTCTCAGAAAACCTTCATAAGAGAAAGAGAAGAGGGAAAAGGGTATGAATGCAAGAGAGCTTGTCATTAACACCTACGGATCAAAGAAGTTGCTTAAAGAGGAAGGTACTGTAATAGTGCTGAGTCCAAACATTCCACTAGTCACAACCTAATCCATTCCCTTAAGAATTCAGGTTTTTCTTGTCTTGACCAACTGAGAAAAGGGGGCATAATTTCTAAGCCTAAATTCCCTTTTCTATAAAATAGTAATACAATATTTACTTGACAGAGTTTTCCTGAAGATTAGGGTCGCTAACAAATGTCATTATGCTTGGCTCCCTACAAGTGTTCAATGTTAGGTATATCAATCATTATTAAAATAGCACTTAAAAAAATTAAATTCCCATCTTCCTGTTACACTTTCTTCTGCTCTCTTTTTCCTCCTGAGCCCAGTCCACGTGACCTGTTACTGACAATGAAACAAGAACATACTGTACAGTGTTGCCTACAGCAAGGCCTAAATGGGCCTCTGAACAGTCAGCACGTTCACAAAATAGCTGGGCAACTCGCTGAAGAGCTGTAGTACTACGCCGGAGAGCGACTTTTCCCACAAGGTCCTTGTTAACAGCTCTCTGCTTGCAGATAACTCAGCCCGGCTTCTCACCGGGGTACCACTCGATCCATTTAACTACCCTGACCAGCTTGTGTCCAAGTATGTCGTAGCCTCGTAGCCTCGTAGCCTCCGCGTAGAACGATGCTCAATGCCGCGCACTCATTGGCTGCCGCGTTACCCCGGTGACAGTGAGCCGGGGCCTGCGATCGGAGGGGTTGGATTTCCCAGGAAGCGCCGCAGGACCGCGCGGCCCAGAGCTGACCTCACTCACCGGTGGAAATTCCTGCCGTCCAGCCGGACCACCACCCAGCAGTGGGCCAGGCAGGTGTCGTCAGTCTCGAAGTCCCGCACGTACTCAAACTTGCTCTTGGCCATGGTCGCCCCCGGTTTCAGGCACCGTTTCAGAGTGACGGAAGTAGGAGCCAAGCAATCGCGAATCTTCACTTTGCAAGCCGCCCACATTCCCGCCCTCACCCCGCCACGCGGAAGGTAACGGAGCGAGAGCCCCGCCCCGGAAGTCCCTGTGTCTTTCCGTGGACGCTCTAGCCTTAGGGGAGGGCCACATCTTTCTCGCCTCTCCTTGTAGTCCTCAGTCCACTTCCGGGCCGGGATGACCGGTTTCCAGTCTTCCTTCGCGTGGCACGGCTGCTGGCTTTCCTCCTGTGATTCAACAAGTCACGCTGACGAAGTTTTAAAAAATTCCCTTCTAAGTTTGACGTTTTGTGATTTCTTCTTTTAATATCATTTATTAATTGTTGTAGAAAATGTAAAATATACAGAAAAATATAATTAAGAAATTTAATGCTTCATATCTCCCCCTCTCCATGTCAAAGCATTGGAGCTTCCTTCCAGTCTCTTTTCTTTGTGTGTTTACACAGAGAACACACAGAATTGTAGTCATACACCTATACAATTTTTTATATTTTCCACTCACCTTGAGAATTTTCAAATGTCATTATTCAAAGAAAAACGGACTCTTATTCCAACATATGGACATAACTAAATTAACTTATTCAACTTTTTCATAATTAAATAATCAAAGACCCAATATTTTATTTCTTGTTGCTAATAGATAGATAATAGTAACAATAAAACCCTAGTATTTCTATGATGCTTTATGATTTATAAAGCTCTTTGGAATTCATTACTTACATTATTGTTTTTATCCTCAAGAAAATGATTTAAACAATATAAAAGGACATATGGTGAAAAATAAGTCTCTTGCTAACTCCTAACTCCCTACTTTATGCAGTTACTATGACTACTTTCTTGTATATCCATCCAGGGAGAGATACAGATACATAGATGATATAGATAAGTACATATTATATATGAGTATATCTAGCTAGCTAGCTATAATGTCAGAGCAACAGGGTGTTACTTCCCTCCCTCCCCATAAGTCCCTCTCTACCACCTGCCTCGAACACCCACCCTGACCCCAGGACAAGTAGTGGCAGGTGGGGGGAGCCTTCAAGGGCAGACAAGGAGGTAGGACTGTTTTCTCACTTGTCAGCTGGGAAGCTGCAGGGCTTTCCTGGTGCTGCCACTGTAGGAGGGCACCAAGAGAGTCATTGGAAGACCCTGATAAGTGTCATCTCTCTTGCTCCCTTCAAGTTTGGAGGTATATGTGAATAGAGACCACTGAATACATCACACTGGAGGGTTCTGGAGCAGTCTAGGCCAGTAGATAAGAAGAGGCAGCAATGTGATGTACTGAGGAAAGGGCAGGGATACTTCGCTGCAGTTTTCCCCAGCCTTTAGGCCTGGGAAAGATCATCACCATCAGCCTCATAAGAAGAAGCTCAGAGGTTACAGGGGAAGGCAGGAGCTGGGAGTTGCCTATGAAGTCAACCCTCCTAAAGAGGTTTTGAAGACAGAGCTGGAAGAGCCAAAGGGAGCTATGGCTACTCCTCTTCAAGGGATCCTAGGAGGATCTGGCTGATGCCAAGAATGGCCTCAGCACAACTATGCACCCTGCCAAAGCGTGAAGAGAGAAGACTTTCCACCACCAGGTTGAAGGCCAATTACATAAGGAGGCCTCTGCCTCCCCTACATTCCAGTCCACCCCTCAATGGGATGGGAATTAAGCCTTGAAAAGAGGAGGATGATCCAGAGGATCTCAGAACCAAACCATGCCTCCCACATCCATTCCGAGTTGTTGGCATGGGGGCAGAGTAAAAGAGCAAACCCAGGGCCTCCGGCTCCAAGTCCCTTTTATAATAAGCCTGGCCTGTGCTGGGGCCAGGGAGAGGGGAGGGAGTAACAATGCTTATCATAAAAAGACAAATACTGTATGATTCTGGATATGCAATGAAGTGCTTAGAGTAGTCAAATTCATAGAGAAAGAAAGTAGAATAATGGTTGCTAGGGGGTGAAGAGAATGGGGAAAGGTGAATTGTTTAATGGATGTGGAATTTCAATTTTGTAAAAGATTAAAAGAGTTCTAGAGATTAGTTACACAACAATATGAATGTACTTTACACTACCGAACGGTACACTTTAAATGGTTAAGATGGTAAATTGTATGTTATATGCATTTTACCACACTTAAAAATTTTTTTAAATCCTGAACACAACAGATATTTATGACCTAACTGAACAATGACCTCTATTTTTTTAAAATTTCGATTACTTAGTAGATCACTTACTCACTGAGGCTGACAGAAAGAAAAGTAATTACCTTTGCTATGGAAGTCATATTTCTGCTTGTCTTCGCTGATGCTGACTCATTTCATTTGTACTAAGAGCTGCATTATGTAAATGAAATTCATGGTGGAAGGAATAAGAAGAAGAAATCATTTGTCTCTAAAGTCTCCTTCCCCAACACTAAACCACTCTAATCAAATTTCTGGCTTGAAGTAAAGTACAGTATTAAATTCAGGAATGGACTGCCTAGTTCTGTCATGGTTTTGAAATAGTTTTGCCTGCCGAGCATCCCCTTTTCTCTCTTTTGGCAATGGCACCCCAACTGTCTTTTCCCCCCATCCCTCACATCATTTAGTTTATGTGGGATAATCTCCATCTCACCTTTGCTCCGATGTGAGCACATGACACTATAGTGTCTCAGTGTGAGTTACAAAAAGGATCCTCGCCCTGGCCGGTTTGGCTCAGCGGTCAGAACGTCAGCCTGTGGACCGGAGAGTTCCGGGTTCAGTTGCCACTAAAGGCACATGCCTCAGTTGCAGTTTGTCCCTGGCCCCAGTTGGGGTTGGGTGGGTGGGAACCAGTCAGTGTGTCTCCCTCACGTTGATGTTTCTCTCTCTGTCTTCCTCCCTCTCCCTCCTGCTCTATCTGAAGATAAATGCAAAAATACCCTCAGGTGAGGATTAAAAAAAAGGATCCTCTCTCCAGCATAGTCATGAACCAGTCAAAGGACTGGTAAGTGTGCCCTACACTGGATTTCAGCCACTGTTTGTCCTCTTTACATTGAATACTTGCACAAATATTTGTGGTGGCCTCCCAATAACCAAGAGTTGGCCAGTCTGGTTCAGAGATGTGCACCTGATCCAAGCCAGGTCAATGAGACAGTCTGGCACTCTGCTAGAATGACTAGGAAAAACAGTCTCTCTTCCTATTAGAAATGCTACATTGATGGATACATTGCCTCCAAGAGGGAAGAGCCTGCTCATCAATTCGACTTATGCAAAGGAAAAAAATCTGAGAGATGGAGAAAAATCTTTCTGATGACAATGAGCATCAGCCTGGAGCCAGCACTACTCCTAGACTCTTACAAGTTCCTGGAGGGTAGGGACCTCACTCAATATTTTTCAAAGCTGTATGTATCCCCCATGCCAAGCATAGTGCCTGGCATATGGGACACAATCAATAAATATTGTGAAAGATATGACAATAAATTCCTTTTTTGTATATGAAATTGGGATTTTAGAAGTCTCAATTCATTGGGGTAAAAATAAATAACTTCATTTTTCCCAATAACTGCTCTCTCATGTTGTTTCTTGCTGGTTAGCAATTCCTGTAAAGAATCTCGGCCAGATCCCTAACTTGCCAGTTAGTACAATGTATTAGTGTTGGTATTCAAATGTTGATCTAGAGCACTGTGTTCCCTGAATGCAGCCAACTTTATCCCTCTCAGTCCTATTCCTGCCTGTATCAACTCGGGGTAGAAAGGTGATTCATATAACAGATCTGGTTCCAACTTTTTAAACAAGTCTTTCAGGGAGGTAGCTGGCCCTAAACGTATAGGGGCTCTTTGAACTTATAAGTGGGCTACTTCACCCTGGCCAGTTTGGCTCAGCGGTTAGAGTGTTGGCCTGTAGACCAAGGGGTCTCGGGTTAGATTCCCAGTTAAGGGTACCTGGTTTGCAGGTTCCCTAGCCCCAATAAATGTGTCTCTCACATCAATGTCTCTCTCTCTCTCTCTCTCTCTCTCTCTCTCTCTCTCTCTCTCTCTCTCTCCTTCCCTCCCTCCCTCCCTCCCTCCCTCCCACTCTATCTAAAAATCAGTGGAAAAATATCCTCAGTGAATATCCTCAGGTGAAGATTAACACACACACACAAAGAAGTGGGCCACTTCACATCTTATGTTCTCAGTTTGGGGCCTTAGGTATAATTTCAGAACAAGAAGAAAAATCCCACTGAACATCTTGTGTATCAGGTTTGAGTTGGATCAATAAGCAATTCATATAGATGAGATGAACTTGACATTTTGGATAAATTCAGGAATGCGAGTAATACATACAAAGGTAGATTGAGGGACATGTGAAGACCCACAAAGAGATGGAAAATTAATCTGGCTATGGTGTTAAGGGTGAATGAAAGTAAAGAAAACCTGGAGGCAGCTAGCCAACTGAGAATCTACTTCAATATTTCAGATATGCAGTGCTGAGATTAAAAGAAAGAGGTAGATGAAAATAAAAAGGAAAACAAAGAATTTGGTATTCAAAAAATGTTTTGAGGGTCTAAATCACAAAAAGTTTTAATCCTTTTTTAAATAGGCAAGGCATTAAGAGATCTTGAAATAATGTAGACATTATTATTGATACAAAGACAGAGTCATGTTCACCACATAACTCTCTAGGAGTTATTTATAGGAGTTATTATATTGAGTGCCCCATAATAATTTGGCCTTGAATGGCCAAAGTTGGTAGTAAAAATTTGGGAAGAATTACTTCCTAATTCAAGTTCAAATTGAAGATCATAGCAGAAATCAATTTTTAAAAACAATTTAAAAAATCAGGGAAACCAATAATTCTTTGTATAGATCTATGCAGTTAATGAAATTTTAGTAAAATGACCAAGAAAAAAAGAAACAAATTACCAAAATTAGGAACAAAAAGGAAACATTCTGAATCCTACCCAAATCAAAAGGACTATAAAGGAATATTATGAACACTGTCATGCCAACAATTAGACAACTTTATTGAAACGGGCAAATTCATAGACAGAAATGATAAAATTGACTCAAGGCGAAATATAAAATCTGAATAGACCTTTAGCAAATAAAGACATTAAATTAGTTCATTTAGATATTAAAAAAATTTTCCTACAAAGGAAAGCCCAGATGACCTTTACTATCAACATGTAAGGAATTGGTAATACCAATCAAATACAAACCCTTTCAAAAATAAAGAGAAAGGAACATTTTCAAGCTTATTTTACCCTGATTCCAAAGCTGCAGACAAAGATATCACAAGAAACTAGAGACCAATACCCTTCATGAATATAAATGCTAACATTCTTAAAGGAATCGCAATAGGATCCAGTAATGTATAGAAAGGATTCTACATCATGACCAAGTGAAGTTGATACAGGAATGCAGGTTAGCTTAACATCATCTGAATGTCAATTAATGTAATAAACATATTAATAGACTAAAGCAGGGGTCAGCAAACTTAGGCCCATAGGCATGCCTTTTGTTTTTTTAAATTAAGTTTTATTGAAACACAATCATGCCCATTCATTTACATGTTGTCTATAAATGCTTTCATGTTACAATAGACTAGATTGGTTGCAACAAAGATCATAGAGCTCACAAAACCAAACAATTTATTATATGGCCCTTTCTGGAAAATGCTGCTGACCCCTGGAATAAAGTAGAAAGCCATATGATCATCTCAATAGATGTAAAAAAAGCATTTGATAAAAATACAACAAACATACATGATCAAGCTCTCCACAAACTAGGAATAGAAGGAAACTTCTATGTAAAACCTACAACTATCATCAAACTTCAAGATCAAAGACAATGCTCTCCCCCTAACATTGGGTACAAAACAAGGATGTTCATTCTCACCACTTCTATTCAACACTGAACTGGAGCTTCCATCCAGTGCAATAAGGCACAAAAATATGAATTTAGCCCTGGCCAGTTTGGCTCAGCTGTTGAGCATCAGCCTGCAGTCCAGAGAGACCCAGGTTCAGTTCCCGCTAAGGGCACGTACCTGGGTTGCGGTTTGTACAACCAACCACATACCCCAGCCCTGGTTGGTTGTGCAGTGGCAGCCACTTAATGTGTCCCTTTCACGCGATGTTTCTCTCTCTGTCTCTCTTCTTCTTTCTCCCTCCTACTCTATCTGAACAACAACAACAACAAAAAAAAATGGAAAAGGTGTCCTCAGGTGAGGATATATATATATATATATATATATATATATATATGAATTTAAAATCAATATACAACCAACTAGAAATGAAGTTAAAAAATAATTACATTTATAACAGCATCAAAAATATTCAGGAATAAATTTAAGAAAAGAAAGTACAGAACTGTGTAATAGGAATTACAAAACATCGTCAAAAAATAGACAGTGTTCTGGAATTGTACTGTAGTGATGGTTACACAACTTTATAAATGTTTAAAATTCACTGAACTTTACATTTAATTATAAATTTATGATGTATAAATTATACTTCAATAAAGCTGTTTTTGATTTTTAAAAGTGCTTTCTGCTGAAAACACACTCCCCATATACTGTTTGCATTGCTCTCACAAGAGGACTGTCATATCACTTTTTTTGAATTACTAATTCAGATTTGATTAACTAGTTTTGCATGAAATCAACACTAACTTGATCTATTTTCTGTTCGTTAAAAAAAATTTTTTCTTCATTGATTTTGAGAGAGAGAGGAAGAGAGAAACATCGATGAGAGAGAACATCCATTGGCTGCCTCCTGCATGCCCCCCACTGGGGATCAGGTCCACAACCTGGGCATGTGCCCTCACTGGAATGGAACTGGCAACCTCTTGGTACAGGGGTTGGTGCTCAACCACTGAGCCACAGTGGTCGGGCGATTTTCCTGTTTCTTTTATCAGCCTTTGTTTATGCCCATACTTGGCCTTATAAGTTAAACCCTAGTTTCACAGTTCTCAAAGTGTGGTTCAGGGACTGACTCAGAGAGTCTGCTAGGTTAATACAATTTTCATAATAAAATTCTAAGACAATACTTGCCTTTTACACTATAATCTCTCATGAATGTACAATGAAGCTTTCTAGAGCCTATATGACATGTGAATCAACAGATTGAAAGCAGAAGCAGACATGAGAATACAAGTGTGAGTTTTTTAATTAAGCCAAACATTAGATTCACAATTCCACTCTTCTAATTTTGGGGAAAATATAGTTTTAACATGAAAATATGTTAACATGTAATGGGTTTAGTATTGCTATCTTAAACTAATTGATAACTACTTTTAAAAGTTCTCAGTTTTTATTTATAATGTGCCAGATATTGATAGATAAAACTATATAAATACTCTTTCATCATATTTGTGGGTATAAAAGTTTCCTGAGATAGAAAAGTTTGAGAAACACAGCCTTTGTATACCTGCTAGGTGTAAGAACTCCTGTTTGCCACATTTAACAACAGGGATTAGAAATAGAACTGGGGCAGGTCTTCTCTGAAAGATAACTTGTCTTGGTTAAAAATATCATCAGCTTCAAGATAAATGTATAGCTTTTACTTAGGACATCATTTAGAAATGTAACAAATGTTAATACAAGATTTTTTTCTTTTCCTTGGTGATATTTTATACATATAATTTATATGTGTGTGTGTGTGTGTGTGTGTGTGTATAAAATATATGTGTGTGTATGATTACAAATTCTGGTAAGAGCTTTAAAAGAAGTGATGGAAGTATGACTACATAAAGGAGATTTGACCTGATTTTCAGAGTCAGAGAATACTTCTCTGAGGATGTGCCAGTTGCGCTCAATATGAAAGATCACCTGAAGGAGTTAAGGGTGGACCAGCACTGGGGACATATCCAAAGGCCTTTGAGGTGGGAGAGAGAATGATGAGAAGCCTGTGTGGCTGGACGCCACAGGGCCAAGGCTACAATGGTGGCTAATAGTAGTGCTAGAGCCCAAGTTATTTGGGGCTCTACAGACTTTGTCAAATACTTTAGACCTTTATCAGGTGGCCAATGTGGAGCCATGGAAAGATTTAGGAGAGTGGGATGTGACAGAATTAGATTTGTATATTTGTAAGATCCAGGGCAGCTGAAGTGTAGGGCACAAGAGTGAAAAGCTGGGAGACTTTACAGGGCTACAGCAGTATCCAGGTGTAAGAGGATGGAACCTTGGAACAGAGCCATGGCGAGGAAACCGAACCAAGTGGATGAATTTGAGATGTACTGTGCAAGTTGGGCTCACAGGACTGCTGATGAAAGCTTAACTAGAACAATCGCACCAAGTCGAACACCCTCCCCAGCAAGGAAATCAAATGGGGTTATTGAGAAGTTGCAAAATTTCCCCCTTTTCTTCTTGGCACAGATTCAAAGGCCCCATGATCCCCAGGGTCTCTCGTGTATCCTGGCAGCGCAAACAAACCGCACGTACAAGGCTGGGTTCCCCAGACCACGTAAGGGATTCATGCGAGTTTATCACCTGGATGTCAGTAGCGCAGAACCACAGTTTCCTGGGCAACACCATTGTCGGGCGCTCTGGGCGGGGGAGGGGTAACTAAGGACAACGGCCACAAGAGAACTCCGGGAGAAAGGGAGAGTCAGAGAAAAATGGGGAAAATGGGCAGCACGTGCCGCGGCCACCGCCATCGCGGGTGATTCGAGGGCTCCTCACAAGGCGAGAGTGGAGGGCGGGAGGGGCCGGAGAACGCGCCTGTGATTGGCGGTACGGAGCTGCGGGGACGCTTGTGATTGGGCGAGGCCACACAGAGGTCTGCTTTTTGAACCGCGTAGGGTTCTGGGTAGCAAAGGCCTTGGAAGGGTCTTAACCGAAAGAGGGAGGGGGAAGGTCGCCAACAAACGGCTGAGCTCACAATCCGGCCCGGGACCCGTCCGGGGCGTTCCCCTGCGCCCATGGAGAGAGCCAGGCCAGAACCGCCGCCTCAGCCACGCCAACTGCCGCGGGCGACCCCGCCGCGTCCACTGCGCCCCGCTCCGCCCCAGCTGCCGGTCGAGGGCACCCCCTTTCGGGCAGCGGCCGCGGAGCCCCCTCCGTCGCCCCCAGCCCCGTGCGCGGCCGCCATTGCGACCGTGGCCTCGCCGTGCGGGGAGGTACCGGCGTCGGGCGTACAGCCCTCGGCACGGCGGCTGCTACAGGTGAAGCCGGAGCAGGTGCTGCTGCTCCCGCCAGGGCCACCACTGCCTCAGGCCAGGGACGAAGACGCCGCCACCTCGCCCGCGCAAGCGCGGCTGTTGCAACTGAGGCCCGAGCTGCTGCTGCTGCCGCCGCCGCCACCGCCCACATCCGAGGGCGCCCCCTGCAGGCCCGAGTTGCAGCCGGTGCCGACCCGGGCGCTGCAGATCAAGGAGGAGAAGCAGGAGCTGGGGTCCAGTTTGGATCCCTCGGTGGGGCCTCGGAGAGCTGTCGAGGCGAGCCCGAGGGCCTCCAGGATGGCCAAGGTGGAAGGCCCTGGGTCGGCCCTGGAGAGTCACCGAGGGGAGCAGAAGAAGGGCAAGTTGGAGGCGGAGGAGGTCATGCGGGACTCAGAGAAAGGCGGGGAAGGCAAAAGCTTGATGGCCGTCAGAGAAGGAATCATCAAAACCGAAGAGCCCGAGAGACTCCGCGAGGACTGCAGATTCGACCGGGAGCCTGCGTCTAATGGGCTGGTCCATGGCAGCAAGGAGGTGGTCTTGGCCCAGTCCAGCGCCTTTGGGACACACCAGCAAGACCTCAGGATCCCTTTGACTCTCCACACCGTCTCCCCTGGGGCCCAGATCCAATTTCAGGGACCTCCAGCTTCAGAGCTGATACGATTGACCAAGGTTCCCTTGACACCAGTGCCCATTAAAATGCAATCCTTACTGGAGCCTTCTGTAAAAATTGAAACCAAAGATGTCCCGCTCACCGTACTTCCCTCAGATGCAGGTATTAGACGGCAGGGGAATCTGGTTTTCAGATTTCGTCTTTGTTGCCCCATAGCTGACATGTCAGCAGTTCAGAAGCCTAAACTAGAAAAATAAAATCATGGAACTGATTCTTTTCAGGGCAAAGTCTGCACAGGTATCACTTCTGATTGACTTGTACGTATACCAGTAAAATACACTAACACGTTCGAGATTATCAAACATTTTCAAAAATATCTATTTTAAGGCCCAATGAAGTTGAGATTTCTATGTGACTGTTTACACACAAAAATAGAAATATTTTTGCTATATAATACAAAGCCCTTGGTTTATATGCTACAGATAACATTTTAAAGTATAGTAACTATTTTTACATGTATCGAGAAGCAGAACAAATGGGTTTTGATGAAAAAAATGCTTATTATAAAACAGGAAAGTTTTACTGAATTTAGAGGTGATTTTTCTTCTTTAAAAATGAATAGAAAACATTTTTTTGTGAGAGAGAACAGTACATGATTAAAGGTAACATTTTAATATAAAAGCTAAGAATTTAGAGAAACTTGGAGAATGAAAGTAGAATAAGCTAGAAAAATTGGGTTCAAAGAAATTACTATAGTTACAGTGATAACAACTACAAGTATTTAACTACAAGTATAGTATTTATTCTATCCATTGTTTCCAAACATAGTTTTAAAAATTCTTATTCTATGGTTTAATTCAGACAAAGCACTATGCCAATTAATGTCATGGGACGTCATGTTAATCTTCATGTTTTCATCAACTTTTATATTGTTTTTATTTTCTTTATTGATTCTCACTTCATCTTGCTTTTATGTTCAGTAGTTTTTAAACGTTTTTCTTTTTTCTGAAGGAAAGAAAGGGTGAGCTTCTTTTATAATACTTATTTAATCCTTTGAGCATTTAAATTTTTTAAAAAAATATCAAGTAACCCTAAAAGAAAAACAATAGAAGTTTATAGACAGTAATTTTTGAAAAATTATATAAGTGAATTTAGTCAACGTACTTTATTGTAATTTCAGCTGGTTCTGTGACTCTTAAGAAGTCATTTATTTTTCTCCTAGGACATGGGACTAGTGTTGCTGACTCATTTTGGCAAGAGCTTCATCTTCATGATGAAATATAACGAATATAGTATTATAATATTATAAATATTTTGCTTGAGTGGGCACTATAGCAGCATGTAAATAAGTTCCTTTAAACGTTTCTTCAAACACCTACCTAATGCTGACGTCATCATCAATAAATCATCGTTCTTTTTTTTAAATGCAATTCTTATTTAAAAAGATTTTTAGAGAGAGAGGAAAGGAGAGAGAGAGAGAGAGAGAGAGGGAGAGAGAGAGAGAAACATTGATGTGAGAACAAAACGTCAGTCAGCTGCCTCCTGCTCTCCCCCTACCAGGGTGGAGCCCAAAACCCAGGCATGTGCCCTGACTGGGAATAGAACCAACAAACTTTCGGTGCACAGGACAACGCCCAACTAACTGAGCTACATCAGCCAGGGCAATAAGTTACAGTTCTCGTTCCCCATTAACAGAATATTTTTAATGGGAAATAAACTAAAAATTAATGATTGTGACAGGTATTGATAAAACTAAAAAAAACAAAAATAAATAAGCCAGCAGGTTACTATCTTCAACATCATTCCACAATATCTTAAACAATATTGTTATTTTGAGGAAAAGAGTCATTCTCAACTACAGTTTAGAATGCTGAGTTCGGGGGTAATAAGGAGTTCTAGAACACTGGCAGTTCTTTGGCTATATTCAAGTGTATATTTTCTCCAGATATTTAAAAAAATAAATATAAATGGAGGTGCATTTCACTTTAAAAGTGTGTGTGTGTGTGTGTGTGTTTAATGTTAATTTAGTCTCAATTTTTATCATGTAGGAATACCAGATACTCCCTTCAGTAAGGACAGAAATGGTCATGTGAAGCGACCCATGAATGCGTTTATGGTTTGGGCAAGGATCCACCGGCCAGCACTAGCCAAAGCTAACCCAGCAGCCAACAATGCAGAAATCAGTGTCCAGCTCGGGTTAGAGTGGAATAAACTTAGTGAAGAACAAAAGAAACCTTATTATGATGAAGCTCAAAAGATTAAAGAAAAGCACAGAGAGGAATTTCCTGGTAATCAAATGAACAAAGCTAATTTTAAAAAATTAATTTATTTAGTAAAGATTAGGTTGGGCTGAGGTTGAAAGACAAAATGTGTAATGTTTTTTTCTAACCTGATATGTACAATAAAGAACAATGGCTAATATTATACTAATGATTGAATTGATAAGTTTCCTTAAACAGAACCAATTAGAGAGCTATCTGGTCTCTTATTTGCTAACTAATGCAAACTAGGGGACTTAGTTTTACTGTGGTTTTGATTCAATGTATTGTATAAAATTATGAAGGTAAAAGCTCCAAGATCTAGGCTATAATTTTATAAACATACTAGAAAACAAAGTTTGTAAAATTACAGCAATAGGAAAAAATGTGTGCATACTTAAAGACAACGAGAATGCAGGGATTAACATCATGCTTTATTTTAATATTATATTGTTATCAGAACATAGTCCTGCCTTCTGATAGATTTATCCTCACCATGATATAATTTGAAATGAATTCTGATTTCTTTCCTAGCAGTGAGGTCAGTTAGGTTAAGCTTGGGTAAATGTACAGTATATAGCAGCCATCATGACTGTGCATGGTAGAAAAAGAATTATTTTTTCTCAAATATAAGGTTCTGGGGGCGGGGAGTCAGAGGCAGTGATTATAGGGAACCAGAACGTCTCCTGCTTACCTGTGGCTATAACTGCCAAACTCCACTCTTCTGACTTTGGAAGGAAATTAGTTGTTTGTGCACTTGGAGACTGCTGAGTCTAGGTGAGTTACTCTTCCTAAACTAGGCATAAAAATAGTCATTGCTCATTGGAGACCATTTCAGTGTAAGATATAGACAGTTGTATCTTACAGAAAGTAATGAAACAGGAGGAGACAAATATTGTCCTTCTGGGGCATTGTTTTATAGATACAGGAAAAGCTTTGAGAGTCAAACTCAATGTCTTTAATGTTGATTAGTATTACTACGATTCAATATATTTGGGGGTATAAAACATTTGACTTTGCTTTTCCTTTTAATTATGGGTTACAGCATTGGCCACTAGTTAGAAGCTAAATGGATATATATGCTAAAATGCATAGAAATAATATCATAAAGCAGGAAAAGAAAGATACTTTAGACTATAACTTTTTTTAAAACTTAGAAGTGTTATGGACTTTTAATACAGGGTGGAGCAAAAGTAGGTTTACAGTTGTGAGTACATGAAAGTTTATTCTTGAATTACTATTTATTATTATTTTTCACACTAACAACTGTAAACCACTTTTGCCCCACCCTGTATGCAAAGAACTATTTAAAGGCTAAATAGGGTTTATATGTTCAAATTAAAAATAGTTTATCTTCTTCTATAGGTTGGGTTTATCAGCCTCGGCCAGGGAAGCGAAAACGCTTCCCTCTAAGTGTTTCCAATGTATTTTCTGGTACCACACAGAATATCACATCTACAAATCCTACAACAATTTATCCTTACCGCTCACCTGCCTACTCTGTGGTAATTCCCAGCCTACAGAACACCATCATTCATCCAGTTGGTGAGTTGGTTTTACTGTAGATTATGAATTTTTAAATAGCTGTGTGAAAATTTTAACTCAAGTTTAAATTTTGTTTCTGTTAGCTTACGGATTTAGAAAAATAATTTTAAGGGGGAAATGGATAAAGTAAAAACATTAAATCAGAGAAGGAAAATTTTCAATAGATGTCAAAGAACTTGGTTTGTCAGAGTAGCAAATATACCATGTGTAAAACCTCAGACCTTTTTAGCAAACCAGGATGAGCCCCTAGATGAGGCAGATAATGCAGGAAATGACAGGTAATTCAGTGGGAAATAGGAGTGCATTTTACTACCAGCATAAAAGAATGCCTTACTAATGGGCTATGAGGCACTCTGTCCTGGAATTTAGTAATGATGACTGATCTGTTAAGACTGTTGTCTTGTTGCTCTAGAAAAACAATGGAAGATAATCTATTTTCTTTTCTTTTTTTTTTGGTTTGTGCCCCTAGTGGGAACCAAACCGGGACACTCTGGTCCACAGACGCTCCAACTGCTGAGCCAAACTGGCCAGGGCCTCTATTTTCTACTCATCTAAAAAATCTGGTCTCATCCCTGCCATAAATCCATTCTAGCCGAGTGTTATGTCCATAAGACTGTAATCCAAAAAAATCTGGTCTTGTCCCTGCCATAAATCCATTCCAGCAAAGTGTATGTCCACAAAAAACACATTATTTGGCTTGAAAATTCCTTGAATGGGTTTTCTTGAGAGGGTAGGGAAGGAGGAATCACATGGTTCAATATATAGTGAGTCTTCCAGGGCTCCTTACTTCCTTTGTCTCTCCCAAAGTCCTGCTTTCCTTGGCAGTTGCCTAACTATTCTTTCCAGTTCTCCATTCCCCATCTTTGTCACTATATCTTCATCTCTTACTCTCTCTCCTCTCCTCTCTCTACTTCTGTTTCTCCACAGCCACACTCTGGTCCTCCTCTCCTTCTTACTAACCTCCATGCATCTTTTTCTTGTGGAGAAATTTAGTCTGTCCTCAGTTTCTGTCATTCTTCAGTCCTTCCCTGTTCATCCCAGTCACACAACAAAAGCCTAGTTGCATCACTCATCCATTCCGCACAGGCAATGGACTCTTCTTCTTCTTCTTCTTCTTCTTTTTTTTATTATCCTCACTCCAGGACATTTTCCCATTTTTTTGTTCAGATAGAGTGGGAGGGAGAGAGAGAGAGAAACATCGATGTGAAAGGGATACACTGAGTGGCTGCCACCCACACGACCTAACCAGGGCCGGGGACAAACTGCAACCGAGGTACATGCCCTTAGCAGGAATCGAACCCAGGTCCCTCCGGACCGCAGGCCAACGCTCTAACTGCTGAGCCAAACCGGCCAGGACTGGACTCTTCTTCTTTGGGAGTGGGTAGCAGGAGATTTGCAAGGATTATTGAAAACTATTAATTTAAATTTTTATTTTGTCCTTATACTGTGCTATAGATCTAAAATTCATCTCTTTGCCTCATGTAGTGATTAGATAATGCTAGCTGTTTTCACAAGCACCAAAAGCATAATGGTTTAAACACAATTATGGTCTATTTTTTATTCATGTATAGTACAAAATGGGTATTTCTGGTTGGTAGATAGCTCTTTTCCAAGGGGTGGTTTAGGGACTCAGGCTTCTTCTACCCTGTAATTCTGCCTTCATTAATATGTGGCATCCAAGGCCACTGTACATAGTATACATGAACCTGCAGAAGGGAAAGAGCATGGGGAATCATGAGTGAGAATCTTTATTTTTTATTGAGATGTAACTGACATATAACATTGTGTTTTTTTAGGTGTACAGATGTGAGAGAGCTTTTTTTATAAGCCAGTCTCAGAGGTGATGCACATCACTTCCACTAACATTCCTTTGGGTGGCCCTTAAGCACATGGCCACTCCTAACTGCAAGGGAGGCTGGGAAATGTAATCTAGTTTGTGCTAGAAGATGAGAAAACAGGTGACCGGCTAGTCTTTTTCATATCTTATCTACAGTTCTATAATTAGAGTTCTGTCTTTTCTATAAGTCTTTTCTATTCACTGACAGTTTATTAGAGATTACTGGATGTTGCAGACGTTAACTTCCTCATACTTAGCAACCTGAAATTTGACATATAGGACATCTACATTATACTTCCATATAACTCCCTATCTATGTAATGTTTTACCTGAGACCAAAATAGAACCTGGCACATGTTAGTTACTTAGTGAATATTTGTTGATGTAAATGAGTGATCTAACATCCCATGTCTCATTGGTACCCATTCTGTTATAGAAATGCCTTTGGTAGAAAAGAACATTTGTTACCAGCTAAAAGATGAGTCCCTTCCTTCTTCAGTAACTGAGATAAAAGCAGTGGTCTGTACAGGTACTTTTTAATCTTTTCTTTGCCTAAACTGTTCTACTTTATGGAGGACTAAGAGCTTTTTGTAATGGGTACAGAGAAAAGAAATCTGAATCAAAGGTAGCTTTTAGGAGCTGATGTCTTGAATGCAGTGATAATTCAATTAATATAACTTTGAGAGATTTTATGTCAGCCTAGTTTCATAGTTGTTTAGAGGAGATTTAGACTTTATACCAGATCAGTGATAGAAATGCTAGCATCTACAGGCCCACTTGTTAGTTTGTTCTTTCATCAAGTCATACCTTTCTTAGCTATTATGAACCAGGTTCGGTGCTAGAGAGTGGAGACATAAACATAAATAAAACAGTTTCTGCTCTCAAACTCCCAGTTTCATGATTGTGGTTGGGGTGGGAGATATGTAATAAAGATTTATAATATTTTCTAATAAAGGATAGATTTACAGGTTCTGAGGGAACAAGGAGGAGAGAAATTACTTTATTCTTGATTAGTCAGGAAAGGCTTGACTAAGGCCTGTGGCCATGTAACCCCATCAACTGAGAATCAGGACAGTTTTATTTATACCCTGGTTTTGTGTTGCCTCTACTTCACTGAGTCAGAGGCAATCTTGAAACAGATGAATATATCCCTTAATTCTCCACCTCCAGGTTCAAGATGGGTATTATCTGCCTTATCTGGAGAAAAGGAAGGAGGGAAAGTTCTTACTGGTCAAGGCTGAGAGGAGATCCACATTCCTTTGAGCCTCTGACAGAGACATTTCTAACCATTGAGTCTGTCTTCTATACTAACTGCATTGGAATGAACCAGAGCATGACTATTGCTATGACTTCTTTCTATGTTTCTTTGGAAAAGATTAGTTAGATTTAGGTTAAGGATGTTGTTTGGATAATTTAGTAGCTCAATCAGCAGTCTTTGCTTCTTCAGGAGCAGAAAGATCAAATACAGAGTTATTTTACCTGTCTTTAAAAATTCTGCCATATCCGTCATGCCCTGCTGCAATGATATTCCTTTTATATCTGTCACAAATTGACCTGTGTGGCAAGTCCTGTTCTCACTTGGGAATTTCCTGCTGTATTCACATTGAATACAATAAAATGAAATAATTTTATTAATTGTTTCTTAGGTTTTTTTAGAGTTAAAAAATTAAATGTCATTTATAATTTAGTTTAGTATACAGAAATATACAAAATAAAATAAAAATGACCCATGCCACTACACTGAAACCTCTATTAATATGAAAAATAAAATAAATATATTTAGATAATATTGCTCTACTGTCCTGCCTCCTCTCCCAGATGACCACTCCTTAGAAGTAACCACTGTCTGTAGTTTCATTTCTTTTAGAAACATTTACACATACATACCAGCATTGTGTGTATTTGTCTTGTATTCCATCATTCAAATTCATAAAAAAATATTAAGCGCTTATTCAATGTCAAGCAGAATTTGGAGCCCTGGAGATAATAGCAGTGAACAAAACAGAAAAGGTCTCTCCTCTCATGGCACTTAGAATCTAGGTGAGAAAGAGAAACCAAAAAATATAAAATAAGTGAACAAGATGACTTCAGTTTGTTCAAAATGCTATAAAGGAAATACAGTGGTTAGATATGGTAATGCAGTTAGGTAAGGTGGTAGCTACTGAAGGCTTCTGGTTGTACATTTTATTAAATTAAACTGAAAAAAGAAGAATGTGGAGTGACTCAATTAATGCCTGACCTATGCTCTTTTTATTTCTGAAGGTGAAGCTCCACCTGCCATCCAGCTGCCCACACCTGCAGTCCAGCGCCTAAGCCCCATCACACTTTTTCAGCCCACTGTCTCCAGTACTGCCCAGGTGGCCGTCCAGGCTCCAAGTCTGCCCCTCCGCCCAGCACTCTCACCCCAGCGCTTTGCTGGGCCCTCCCAAACGGACACTCATCAGCTGCATTCTGGAGCCAATCACACTGTAAAGAGACCCACACCTGTCTCTCCGGAGAGCACCAACAGGATTCCAACTAGTCCAAGTACTGCCCATGCCAGATTTGCACCCTCGACCATCCAGCCTCCCAAGGAGTATCCCAGCGTTTCCACTTGTCCCAGAAGTGCTCCAATTCCCCAGGCTCCTCCTCTTCCACACTCACATGTCTACCAGACCCCTCCCCTTGGCCATCCAGCCACACTGTTTGGGACACCACCGCGATTCTCTTTTCATCATCCTTACTTCCTACCTGGACCTCACTACTTCCCATCAAGGTAAATGAACACTTATTTCCTTCACCTAAATATACATGCATCTAATGAATTTTTACTTCCGATGGCATCTGTTTTTATGGAAAATGGGACTTCCTCAATTCTGCATAGAATCTAATTTAGATTAGAGACTGAACAAGGGCCAAGCAGTTAACATAAATGCGTGAAGGAGGCTGGATGAGGACTCGGGGAGTCAAAGAGAGTACATGCCCCGTCTAACGGGGTAACTGTTGTTTAGCTCCAGCTTACTGTTTCCACGTGAAATATGGGTGCCAATGTTGCCAGATCTGATTTTTCATGAGAAATTAGTTATAAGGGACCTTGAGATCATTTAGTCAATCCCCCTTATTGTATAGAGCTGTGTTTCTCAAATTTTATATGTGTATGAATTACATGTGATATTGTTAAAATGTGGATTCTGAGTCCGTAGGTACTGGTATATGATAGTATTCTATAACAGGATATAGTAGGCCTGATATTCTGCATTTCTAAACAGCTCCCAAGTGATACCATTTCTGCTGGTTTGTGGAACACACTTTTGAATAGCAAGGTTATAGAGAACACTTGGTCTGAGAGGTTAGACGATGTGTCCAGAGTTACACTCCCTCTCAGTGCCCCTTTTAACTCCCAAATTTCCCATATAAATTACCAGCCAAGGAACTCATTATCATAGGGAATTATCTAGCGAAAACAAATTTGTCACTTTTCATTTTGTAGTGATAGAATTTAACTCCCTTGTCAACATTCTAATTAGGGAGGTATTAAGCTCTAATTTTCCATTACTGTTAAGTGTGTAGACAGTTTCTGTTGAGATTGGAGTATTGTGTGTCTGCCACCAGTCTTCTATTGTTACTTCAGAAAGTAAAACTGCTCCCCACGTAGGTATACCAGTGCCTCAAGGAAAGAAATTTTGAAGTGTATACAGTATTACATTGCTTCAATTCATAATGGGATTGCTTGCTTTCAAGTCCATACTTAGCCCAAACTGGGAGAAAGTGGAACTAGGGGATCAGATCAGGACAAAGGGAGATTTTGCTACCTGAAGTTTGTTTTGCTTTTCCTGTAGGTTCTTTTGGTCTTTAGCAGCTTTCAGTGACTTTTAGTTACAGGAATCAAATCTTAGAGTCTACTAAGGCCAGGGGTTGATAGTTTCTCCTCATTGCTACCTGCCAGAATTGGATATTTTATAGGAATTTTAGAGAATTTTACATTGTTTTCTAGATATAAAAGAGGGCTAAGGATATAGCTGGAATTTAATAAATGAGCAGGTTTGAGATCAGTCTTAGAATTTCAAGGTCCACAAACTAAAACTGCAGAAATTTTATTTGTTACACAATTTATTTTGTAATACAGTAAAGACTTAGACCAGTGTACTCACAGGAAAGGAGGAAAACAGGCATCTAGCAGAGGCTGTGCACACTCTTTTGTTGTTTTCTTTTTAGCATTTTGAGAGCTAGGCATTTTTACATGTAATTCTTACTTGGGCATAATACTCCCCAGTTTTTCAGATAAATTATCAGATGATAAATATCTTTGTTAAGGTCACACAACTAGTCAATGGCAGAGTCAGTAGTCAAACTTAGTTTGTCTGTCTGATTTTTAATTCCATGTTTGTTGTTTTTATTATATTAGTAAGGCTTCTCAATTTAATGGCTCTTCTTGATTTGCAGCTGTTAGTTGCTAGCAAAGATTCATAGTGAAAATATGTACTTCTGAATGGAAAACTCATGTAGTCAAGTGGACTTCTGGGTGGGTAATGTTTCCTTATATAGTAAAGATAAAATCATAGGAAGTTTATCTTTCTTACTCATGACAAGGCTCATAGGAGTTGGCTGTTAATGTGCAAAATATCTGATAATTTAAAGAACATTGTAAGAGGAAGCTCTGGAAAGTAAGACCTTAGAAGACAGAAAATATCTTTATTCTTAATGCCATATTGCTAATTTAAATAATGATGCTATTGGAGGAACCAAATGAAGTGAATTAGTAGTATAATACTGAATTCTATTTCATTTAAGAATGTGAAAGCAGTATGTCAGCTAAAAATATTAAGCTGCTTATAGTTTTCCAAAACACAAGACCAGGCTTATAAATTATAATATTGTTTGATTGCTTTTCTAACTTCTACCTGTATGTATATGATGATAATTTCCCCAAGGAAATGGATAATATTGTTTATGCTTGTTTAGATAGTATATTTCAGTAAAATTCAGCTTGGCTAAATAACAAATTAATTGATTCTCTCTCAGTTTTCCTATTGTCTGTTTTCTCAGCTGATAACAGAATCTTCTATAAAGAATATTCTCCCCTAATCTAATCCATTCATGTGTGGAATCATTCCATCATTTTAATATCATAATTGAAATACCGTTTCATATACTATATAAATATACATCAAATATACATATTTTTCAGGCAGTCCATTTTTCCCTTTATATCTAGAGTAAAAATCAAAGAGATTAGCCAGTTTAATCAAGGAGTCATTTTATAAAACAGCTGGACTCAGAAGTGCTGATCCCTAGCTCTGAGAGCTAACATCTTTCTTTCAAATCTTTTTTTTTTTTTTTATCCTCACCCAAGGACATTTTTTTCCATTTTTTTTGTTCAGAAAGAGTGGGAGGGAGGGAGAGAGAGAGAGAGAAACATCGATGTGAAAGGGACACATTGAGTGGTTGCCACCCGCACAACCCAACCAGGGCCGGGGACAAACTGCAACCGAGGTATGTGCCCTTAGTGGGAACCAAACCCGGGTCTCTCTGGACCACAGGCCGACACTCTAACCGCTGAGCCAAACCGGCCAGGGCTTTTCTTTCAAACCTTAACCATCTTCATACTATGTTGATTGGAACATTGTCTTTCTGTACTACAATAATTTCTTAGGTTGGTTCTTCTCTCCCCCCACCCACCCTTTCTCCTTTTGTTTCTCCTCTTTGCAGTATTTATACTTTTATAAACAGAGATATCTAGGATCTTTATTCTGTTGGCCATTGAGTAAATACGTGTGTTTAAAAGTCTGTTAAAATTATGTATACAGAAAGGATATGAAAGACGTGGGAGTTGTTTAGTTTGAAATTTACAGAAAAAATATATTTATGTATATATAATGTATACACATACATACATACATAAGCATATAAGAGAAGATAAGCCCAAAGAATTCCCAGATTTGTGAAACTATATAGCATCTTAACTGTAAAATTTTAGGTAACATATCAAAAGTTAAAAGCAATTATTCTTTACCTTTGTTTGAGTTGTAGGCCTATTTAAGAATTTGATTGAAGTTGTGGACCTACTTCCCATAATAATGCACATCTACAGACATATACAGTGTTTCCCCTAAATCTTATTGAGGAGGGAACTTAAAGACCCTGAACAAATATGACTGACTTAGCTAACATGGAATACTTTCTACTGTAATTATCTAGAAAAGTTAAATTTAAACATGAACAATTTAATATCTAGCTGAACTCATCATTTCCTTCTCTGTGTGGAAGCGTTTTAGTTTGATATAGTCCAGGTGCTTATTTGTGCTATTGGTGTCAAATCTAAAATATCATCGCCAAGGCCTATGTGAAGAAGCTTACTGCCTATGTTTTCTTCTTAGAGTTTTATGTTCTTTTGTTCATGGTCTTATGTTCAAGTCTTTAATCCATTTTGAGTTGGTCTTATGGTATAATAAAGGGGTTCAGTTTCATTCTTTTGCATGTGACAATCTAGTTTTCCATTTATTGAAGATATTATTTCCCCCTATATATTCTTGGCTTCTTTGTTATAAATTAATTGGTCATATACATGTGGGCTTATATCTGGGCTATGTTTTATTCCATTGACCTATGTGTCTGTTTTCATGCCAATACCATACTGTTTTGATTAATGTAGCTTTGTAATATAGTTTGAAATCAGTCTAATGCCTTCAGATTTGTTCTTTCTCAAGATTGCTTTGACTATTTGGGATCTTTTGTGGTTACATACAAATTTTAGAATGGTTTGTTCTATATCTCTGAAAAAATGCCATTGGAACTTTGATAGTCATTGCATTGAATCCGTAGATTTCTTTGGATAATGTGGAAATTTTGCAATATTATTTATTTCAATCTATTAACATGGAATATTTGTCCATTTATCTGTGTTTTCTTCCATTTCTTTAATAGTTTTCTGTGTATAGGTCTTTTACCTCCTTGGTTGAATTTATTCTTAGGTATTTATCCTTTTTGATGCAATTGTAAATGGGATTGTTTTCTTAATTTTTCTCTTAGTTTGTTGTTAGTACATAGAAACACAACTGATTTTTGTATATTGATTGTGTATCCTGCAAATGTATTGAATTCATTGATTAGTTTTAACAGTTTTTTTGGTGGAGTCTTTGGGGTTTTCTGTGTATAATATGTCATCACCTAACTAATAGAGACAGTTTTACTTCTCTCCAATTTGGATGTCTTTTTCTTGCCTAATTGCTTTGGCTAGGACTTCTAATACTATGTTGAATAAAAGTGGCAAGAGTGGGAATCCTTATCTTGTTTTAGTTTTTCAATGTTATCTGTGAATACTTAACTCTAAATAATGGATAGAAGACCACACATCCAAAGATGGGATGAACATCAGTAAGCAAATAAAAGACTGTACAACACTGTAAACCAACTAGTTCTAAATATATACATATAATGTACTCCATCCAACAAAAAAATATAGATTCTTCTCAAGTGCACATGATATATTCTGTAAGATAGACCATATGTTAGATCACACAATAAGTCTCAAAAACTTTAGAAGACTGAAATCATACAGAGTTTCTTCTCCAATTATGATGGAATGAAACTAGTAATCAATAACAGGAAGAAAACTGGAAAATAAAAATATATGTGGAAATTAAACAACATAAGCAACCAGTGATCAAATAACACATCTTGAAGGAAATTAGAAAATACTTTTGAGGTGAATGAAAATGAAAATACAACATATAACAACTTACGGGAGTTTATAGTGAAAGCAGTGCTGATAGAGAA